AAATGGTAGCTAGAATTTAACGAACACCTATCGATGACAACGTGCTTTGAAAAGACGAATCGTGGGACGGTAAAAGCCGGTTTTGACACCTGTGTACGAGGGTTAGTTACAAAGGTTGCCTTAGATGAGAAAACTCCTCAGTTTTGACTTTTCATGACTGCGGGGTGAATGATTAAGGAATCTTTACGAATCCACCAACTGCATAAGATACTGCAGCTCCGTTCACCAAATGAACTGAAACCGAGCTGACCGCGTAGGACCAATCTGTCGTTGGTAGGAGACAACCAGATTAGGTTTACTGAAGAAAGTTCCGTACATATTCCACCGGTCGTTTTCCGAAATGACTGCGATTGGGTGAGCGATATCTTCATGGTCTCGAAATAAACAAGAAAAAAATATCTTATGAGGATACTACGGATCAACTTAGTTACTTCACCTGTCCCTTTTCACTATTTCAGCTTCGTAGTTTTTTTTCCAGTCGGCTACTGACGATCGCTGGACTAGATACTGCTTTCTTATACACGAGCTTATGTTAGGTGAAGAACCTGAAGTGAGATTACATCTGGAAAAATTTCTCAGTGGGAAAGGATTTTGATGAAACTGCATTTGCAGGCGCGGGGAGTGGGTACACGGCCAAACTGATTAGGTAATCGCCCTCAATTGATCTTGGCCTCAGAAAATATGATGCGGTTAGATGCAAAAAGTAGGCCAGGGGTCCAGACAGCAGATTTTTTGTTCGAGGATAGTGGGCTGAGAGCCCATATTAATCCTTTTCCAGTAGACTCCTGTGGTTGTCCAACCCCGTTTTGAACGAGTCAATGGATGAGGCCGACACCACTTCTCCTGGGAGTCGGTTCCAGGGGTTGATCACTCGACGCTTGAACCAGTGCTCTACAGAGACTATGTTCGTTCTTCGCTTTTGTAGTCTCCCACTATGTCCCCTAAGGTGTTACGACCTAGTGGGGAGGAAAGGAGAAGATAAACCAGGTCCGAAGTCATTTCTCGGAGTCCTGATTGGCATGATTGGGTCTCCTCTGCATCTGCGATAGGACAAAGTGAAGAGATCCAGTTCCTTAAGCGGGTCTGCACAGGTGAGGCCGGCCATCGCAGGGATCACACGAGTGGCTGCCCTCTGAACTCTTTCTGGAAGGTTTGCGTCACCCTTCAAACAAGGGTTAGCCACCTGTGTACAGTTTTCTAATTTAGAAGTAACTAGGGATGTGTATAAGATGGTGAGCATGTCACCACTTACTTTCTTAATCGTCGTACATGGTGCTCGGTACTGCGGTAAAGGAGTCCCATAAGTATCGTAGGTGTTGCCGCGTGTGTGCCACCAAGTGCATGCTCACACATTTACCTGAAGTTATAAGCACCAGCCACTTCTCTGACCAGGTAAACAAGCTGTTCAGGTCTGCCTGAGGCGCACGTATGTCCCCATTGTTCCTAATTTCCTGCCAGAATTTTACATCTTCAGTGCAGAGAACTACAGGGGATTTCTTGATATTTGGCAGCTCATTTAAGTATAGGAGAAACAGTAGGGGGCCCAGAACTGTGCCTTGCGGCGCTCCACTGTCTACCGGCTTCCAAGTAGAGAGTTCAGAATTGATCCTAACTATTTGTCTCTTGTCCATGCGGGCAGGCTGCCTGTTATTCCAGAACTTCCGAGTTTCCCGGGCAACGCGGAATGAGGTATTTTGTTGAGCTCACCACTAAAGTCTGTGAAAATGACGTCTAAAGGTATCCTATCACTTTTGGACTTAACCCAACTTCCTCTGGCTGTAAGGAGGTTCGTTAGGCGAGAGAAATTTCTAAAAAAACCTTGCTGTGAACGAGACGATAGAGTGTTGCCCTCTAGGTGGACTGTGGTGGCTTTCTTGACTGCTCTTTCTGGGATTTCCATTACAGAACCAGTCAAGCTTATCCGTCTGCAATTTGATGTCAGCTGCTTAGAACCTGCCTTGTGGATAGGTGTTACTATGGCATCCTTCCAGTCATAGGGGAGCGTGCCTCCACTGAGAGACAATCTGAATATAGTAGTCAATGGACTGGCGATATGAAGTGAAAGCTCTCTGAGCAGCCTTGGGTGTAGCTCATCCGTTGGCTTTCCTACATCGAGAGTACTTAATGTCCGAAATACATCACTACGATCGACATCCACAGAGTATTCTGTCGGATATCAATGCTTCTACTGTTGGATAAGTGTCCACTGAAAGTTCCTTCGGGAAGACCTCAGCAAAATATCCAACCGCGGCCTCTGCTTTTTCCCTGTCGTCCCCAATCAAACAGTCATTTTCCGTTCCATCGATTAAGGCGGGTATACCCCGACAAGTATTATTTCTATGGTTCATATAGGAAAATAAACTCCTCGGATGTTGCAATGCAGCCTGGATAAAATTCGTCCCAAAGCATATTCGAGACCAGTGGATAGCAGCGATACACTTATTGTGGGTTTCTTTGTATCGCCTCACGAATTCAAGTGTACCGAGGTGGGTGGCAATACTCCGGCACGTTTCTTACATCGCAGCAAGATTCCAGCTCCGTGGTTTATGCACGAAGGACCGTGTTTTCGTCTTTAAACTTCAAACTTCTTGTTGCAGAACTAGTGAACTGCGGTTCCTTGGGTTCTACATCTGTCTTATTGGAATAAATTCTGAGTTTGGAGTGGTCACAATTATCTTCCCGGTTCTAAAAACCTGAGAGGATAGAGATACGATTAATTAATTAATCTGGTCTCAAGTTAGTATTACTGCGTCTGATCCGGGAAAAGCTTCTCGAGTGTAGCCCATCGGCACCGTTGGACTCCAGGTGTGCGTCTAGCCTCCTTTTAAAGGTAGCGGTGGATAGGGCTGTAACAACTGCTGAGGGGAGGGAATTCCACAGTTTACAGACTCTAACTATAAATGAGTTGGCACGGATCTTTGTACGTGCTGTCTCATGCTCTATTCTCAACGGGTGACCCCTCAGGTAGCTTTTCCGACCAAAGCTTAGAAGGGGTCTGTTAGGATGGAGGGGACTATGAGTGATGTGGTACATCATGATCATATCCCGTCTGACATTCTGGTATTGTAACGGGTGCAGCTGAAGAGCAACTAAGCGGTCTGGGTACGGTTTGTCCCGCAGCCCAATCACTTTCTTCGTAGCTTTTCTCTGTACCCGTTCTAGGATGGCAATGTCCTTTTTCAGGTATGGAGACATTACAGGTTAATTTTTTCTAGATGAGGACGGACGTACAGAGCATACACCGTGGTGAAAAGAGAAGGAGTTAGACACCCTAAGGTTCGCGAGAGAAACCCCAGGATTCTGTAAGCCCTATTGGCTGCAAGGCGACAGTGAACTGGGTCTCCTAGTGTATCATTTAGTGTAACTCCCAGATCTTGTTCGATGTTTGAGTAACAGATGTTTATTTCACCTAGAGAGTAAGAACTGGGACTGCCTTCATGTTTGTCAACCATCATAATTCGACACTCCTTCGAGTTGAGAGGGAGCAGGTTTTCTGTAGTCCAATTAAGGATTCTCGTAAGGCCCTCCTGGAAGGTAGAAATATCTGTTAGCTCCTGTATTTCCCTCCAGATCTTCAGATCATAGGCATATAATAAAGAACGTGAATTAAGGGCCCTAGTAGGTCATTGATAAAAGCAGGAAACAGCAGTGGGCCCGGTATGGAACCTTGAGGCACACCACTCAGCATCGGTAACCAATTAGATAGAGAGCAGCCAACTCCAACTGACTGCACCCTGGTGTACAGATAATCTCTAAGCCAAATTAATAATTTTCCGTATACACCCATGAGCTGGAGTTTCTCACAAAAGATATCATGATTAAACCCTGTCAAAGGCCTTAGAAAAGTCAAGTGGACCAATGTGTATAGGCTTTTTCTTCTCGACAGAGAGTGTCCAGCCATTCCAAGCCACCAAAAAGTTGGCGTTACATGACCTTCCTGGTAGAAAGCCATGCTGACAGTCTTTTAGGGTTGGTTTCTGAAGCAAGTGATCACGAAGTGAGTCATTCATGACTCTCTCCATGACCTTCGCAACTGAAGAGATCAAGGAGATCGGTCTGAAGGTGGGGGCAAGTAGTTTGTTTCCACCCTTACAAATTGGCACGACAGCCACCCGTTTCCAATCACAGAGTAACCCGCCTTCCAGAAACTAGCATTTGAAGAGGTTTGCTGGTGGAGAGCACAGAACTTCAGCACACTCCTTGAGAGCTCCTGGGTGAATCCGATAGGATCCTGGAGACTTATTCGGGTTCAGTTCCTTTAATATTTCCGTAATTACATAGGGCTTAAACTCTACATGGCTTAGTCCCACTGTAATACAGGTGTCCGACAGAAGCGGGGTTTTGCCTCCCAAATAACAGAAGTTGTTTTGGAATTCATGAGCTAGTAGGTTTGCAACTCCAGAGTTGGAATCCCGCTAGCTCCAACTCCCCTCGGGACAGCTCCCCTAACGAACGACCAGGTCACTCGTGCATATAACTGCTTGAAGGAGCGCCGTGCATCTTTAACTGAGGCTTCTGGAATGACTGTTCAGTCCTCCGAAGAGGCTCCCAGGTCAATTGCTTCCATATTCGCTTTCCATATGTTGAGTCTAGCCGGGGCATCGGCCTGGTATAAGAAGTCTTCAGTGAATCTGAAGATGACTATGGTGTGATTACTTTCTGTGATGGATGATACGTGCCGGATGAGGCATATATCATTTGTATGTGAGAATACTAAGTCTAGAACTGATGGAGCATGCTGATGATCATATCTAGTTGGTGTCCTAATGTGATGTATGAGGGCTAAGAAGATTGCCAAATAGATGATTGTAGCTCAGCTAGGATATCTATTTTTAGTTTCACACTGGTTGGTACTATCAAAAGTCGGTAGGTCAAACAGATATTGGATATTGGATTAAAAGTGCGAGGCACACCGCAGTGCTTAAATCCTCAAGGTGTTTGTGCTTTTGCAAGCCCCGAAGGTCATTCTGATTTGTTTACACTAGTTTTCTCTGAAAACGATGAAAGTCATTGGCAGGGAGCTAGACAAAAACTCATCGGGATACATAACTTTGATTGCAGAAAATGAGGAAGATATGTGGCTGACTTACAACTTAGTTCAAATTGGAGACAAAATGAGATGTTCTACAGTTCGAAAGGTTCAGAACGAATCTGCAACTGGCAGTGTCCAAACAAAGCAAGTCAGAACTAACCTAACAATTGAGGTTGAGAAGATTGATTTTGATGTACAAGTAAGTGTCATCGGCATATTTTATACTGGCTAGCATTTATACTTCTCGAAAGACACTATTCAGGTGCAGCTAAGAAGTAGGACTGGCTCCGCATAGCTCATTTTAAGGCTGATGCTCTGAAAGCTACGAATTCTGCACAAAAGCGCGTTGCTTCCAGACTTTCAAACCACCATCCAAAAGGGCCCAACAAGGTGTAACGCGAGACCTCGAGCTCAAGGAAAGAGATTTAAGCTTGAGAATGATACTGGACTGTAAACTTATCCATAGGAGTGTAAATTATGATCTGCCTCAACTTAGTATGGCTGTGGTGACTTATATTAAGCGCTCATCAGTCACACGCAAATCCTTATTCGCAGATAAAAACTGTGAAGGCAGGTGGATACTTAGATCAGAAGGCCCCATGTTTAACTGCCTGCGCAAAGTTCGCATTTTGCTTATTCTTGCCAGTGTTTTTTTTGACCACCATTCTTTTGTTTATGGAGGTAACTTAAGACGCTTTCTTTTTGCGGCCACAATGTTCATTATAGGTTTAGTCTTAGTTGGAGTTCGACCAGTGTATCTCATTCATTGCGTTCAATTACGAGGAATTCAAAAGCACATTGCTCTCATTCATCTGAATCTCTGTTTGAGAGTAGATAACATAGCAGTGTTTCCAAGAGATTGTCACTTATCCTATTTTCAATAGGATTTTATCAGTGTATACAGCTACCAACTATCACGTTTGCGATTATGGATATGTCTCAATAATTTGGACCGTTGACTCATTACTCAGGTCATAAATTTTAACTGTACTCCATCGACCAAGGTTTGAGCCATCAGGTAGTATCACTGGCTCTAATAAAATAGCTGTGGTTGGTAGACAAGTGCATCAGTCTGTGTATATAGTGAGTTGCGTTATTATAGAAAACAGGACATATCTTCCTTTTGCTCAAATTTATGACGACGTTTTGGCGTGATTTGCATAAGCTTTCCATTTGCTGATTTGCTTGTAACACATCTGGATTATTTATATTATTGAAAAACAAACATGGTACAGCAAGGGTACAAAAATAGGGCACAAAATAGTATAATAACAATGTAAAGAAATAAAGCGATGGCAAGTGGATATAATTAAGAAAAAAATACAATAAAAATAGCATGATTAGTAGGACAGTTGATTAAGATACTTTCAGAACAGAACATTCATTACTTTTCAGCAGCAAAAGATAGAAGGAAGCTACAGCATGACTGCTATTGGTTTCGATTCCGAGCCATATCTGATAATGTCCCAAGCCGCTGAGTTGCCTGATCTATCGGACCCTACCCAGGGAGTCGTGATGCACCAACAAATGCTAACCTGATACAACTATCCTTCATCCCACAGCGCCACGCCATACACTGTCCACCCCTCGGCTTCTTCCATCCAATTCAAGGGCTAGCAATTAATGGATCATATAGAAGTTATTGGGACGACATGCGTAACACACGTGCAAGCCACGGGAGCCGGTGTTTCCAGATGTCCTCACTTATTCAACGACGGTTTCCATCATGCCCGAAAACACGTTGTCCTACCTCAGGACTACTTACATGGTGTTGCCACCGAACACGAGGAATCATGTGGAGACGACGACGATCAAACACAGAGTCGTTGCACATATTCAGCTCGGAGAGGCCAGGTTTCACAGGCGTAGAGTAGAACTGTTCGCGCCGAAGCGTTGTAATGCCAACTGTTTATGGTCAAACTACGGTGGCGACAGCGTCAAAGGTGGCCTAGATTGGTGTAGGCCATCCTGGCTTTCGATATACGGTTGGAAATTTCACCACTCATACCTCCACCAGCACTCACACGACTACCCAGATTAGCGAGCTTTTCGACTACTTCCGACGGCTCACCACGGAGAGTGAGCGCAGGCATGGGTTCCTGTCAGTCTTGCAAAAGTACTTTGAACTTCGATGGTGCAAAGTACATACTACAATACTAACGGACGCAATGTTTAGATGGTGGATAGCAATAACATTTGGGGATGAAACATCAAAGTTTATAGTCGAATATTGGCCATTTATTATCAGATCGACTGAGATGACTTGAACATATTTTGCGTATACCGAGCCACTGGTTACCTCGACTTGTACTGCTAAGAGAAGTTGGATTAAGTTAGAAGAGGGTTCAAGCTGGCCAAACCAAGATGTGGTAAAGTCTGTGATTGTTGGCCTAAGCTGTATAGTTGGGCGTAAACTCCCTGGTTAAGGTTCTCGAAGCCACAGGAATCATTAGTTGAAGACTGTTGGTGACTTGCCTGAAAATCGGTCATTCGCGCTCTTTGATGTCTTCTGAAGCTTTGACATTTTCCCTAACCTGGATTTTCAATTCCCTTCTCCCATATGCCTTTGTCTACTTTAGTACTAGCCTTTTTCTATCAACTTATTATTTGCATATTGCTGTCGTGTATCAACTTGGACCGATTCGTAAGATACCAACTACCATAGTTTGGTCGTTCAATGGTATTAGACTTTGCAACACGGCACGCAAATCGTTTCTAACCACATGAAGCACCAATTATTTTTATGCGTTCTGTTGCTCTTATATTGTTTAATTGTCAGCATATTTTTTCGTCGACGTTTCAGTCTTCAATTATCTCTGAAGTTTAGAGACAATTAAATTCTATTCATGGTGATATGAAATCAGACTGTGGCTGTATAGCGAAGCTTTTAACACCTGAAGGTTCTTATTTACTACAGATGTCACCAACAAGAACCAGGGCATCCTGTTCTAAGGGAACATATCACGCTTGAATACAAAATACTTGATTCATTATTGATATGAATTTAATTGGTTAATAAAAGCTTCCTTTTATTGGTTTAAATATTTGGCTTTTAGTCGCCTGGTCATGTTGCCAAACCCCTCTCTACCTACTTAAATTTGGGCAGCTGGAATGACGCTAACCTCTTGACAACATATGTGACTGAAAGCCTAAAATATACTCATTTATAGGGTGGATTAATTTCAACACTACTTATTATTGGATTTTTCGACCATATAATAAGTCCAAGTAATTCATCCCATTAAAATCTGATGTTTTAGTTGTTGGTTCCTCTTGAGGCTATAGGTTTTGTGATCGGCTTAGGTCCTAGGATGCTTCTCTTCCTAACTGGACCTGAGTTAGTTACGTACCTGTTCCCTATCCGAACGAGTGTTTCTACAGGAGATCGAAAAGACTATGGTGCATACTGTTTGTTCCTAGTCTCATTTTTCTAATCAGACCAAAGTAGGTTTTATGGCATATCGTTAGCTTTTATCCCATATACAAGACTTGCTATCTTATATTAGTAGGTGGTTGTAATAATTATTTAGGAATGTTGAAACAAAAATAAGGGAATTTCGGGAGATTTTTTGGAATCTTTTCTGATGATTTGATTACAGTGGTTGTCTTCTGTCTTTTTGCTGCAATAACCATTTATTACTTTCGAGCCTGATTTGTTCAATACTAAGTGTGGGTGTCTCACTGTAGTAATTGAAACCTGTTGTTTATGCAGTATCTTTCGTGTAATCCAGGTTTTTTTTACGTTATATCTATACACATGATTCGTCCTATTAATTTAGTGAATACAAATGAACTAAGTTCTAACACCAGAATGCTTACTTGTCTTGCTTTTAACCAATCCATATTATTTTAACCATATTGTTGCCACTGTATTTTCGTATGTGCCATTTTGTTCTGTTTTTGTCATTTTCATATATCTGGTCACTTCAATCGACTGTTTACCACCATTTGAAATTCGGGTCCATCCATATTGTTCAGAGTTGCTAAACAGTTACTTTTGTAAGCTTTCCGTTAGTGCGATGTCTGACTCAGCTATTCCCAAACTGCGTGTACTGTTTAGGGTAACTGGGATTTGAATCGTGACTCAAATCAAACATCGGGGAGATTCTGTTATGACTCTAGAAACTCTAACTGTTGATATATGCTTCATTTCAGAGACGTGCATGCAAATCAATGAGGTGTTTTGAATCACCTCTCCATTTATCAGCTCAAAAAGTGTTTAATGGTAATTTTTCTCGAGGACACTGTGAAATCAAAATCCATTCTTTCTGTTGTTGGTACTGCACTGCATACTAGAGTCAAGATTGAACTAGTTGACTGGGTTTCCATCATCTGTTTTATGTGTGGTTAGGGTAGAAATTTTGGCTAAAGTAAAGAGAAACTACTGAGATAAGCTATATCTTCATAATATTTACTTATACTAAGATGTATTACAACTGGGGTGCGGTTAAGGATGAATTCCATAATCATTTATATGACTTTTCCTGCCAGTGGCACTTGACAGATATCGTAATGTTAGCTAGGGACTTAAATAGACAGGTTGGCTATTAAGGTTAGGATAAAAGTTGTTTAAGTGGCTATGAGGAATTATTCTTCGCAAATACGATAATGGGAACCGTTTTCTGAAGTTTCGTGCGTGTCAAACCTATTTCTGGTCGGCACCAACTTTCAGCGCAGTCATCTCCCTTCTGTCACGCAAGCATGAATTTAAATCTATTACATTACCCGGGTGCCCCCTGCTCTTTGCGTCAGGATGGCCGAGTGGTTAAGGCTTTGGACTTGAAATCCAATGGGGTTTCCCCGCGCAGGTTCGTACCCTGCTCCTGACGTCCACGCCTAACCTCGCCTGGTTAACTAGTTTACTAGTTACTAGCCGGTCCTAAGCCCGGGTAAAGAGGGAAGGTTGGGCATAGGGCTAGCAACCCTACCCCGTAAAACAAATCTAACCGCTAAAGAAACTTCAAAGCACAAACAAAATATAAAAAATGAAAACAAACTCATTCCCCGCTGGAATCGGAGAGGCGAAATGACGCCAGTTGGTGAAAGCCTTCGGGAAGCCAATTGGCCGATGTGTCTTCTCTCGATGAAAGCGAAAGTAAACGTGGGGACATGGAATGTCCGCACCATGTTTGAACCCAGTAAGGCAGCCCAGATTGCAAAGGAGATGAGAAGGTATAACATCGAAGTGCTTGGGATTTGCGAAAGCAGATGGAATGGGAGTGGACTCTCCAAACTGTCAACTGGAGAATCAATAATCTACTCCATTTGTCACCCAGACGCCAACCACGAGCACACTGAGTTATGGAGTGGCTATCATGATGTCCTCAAGAGCATCGAAGGCTCTCATGCAGTGGGAACCAATCTCCTCCAGATCAGGATCATGACAGCAAGATTCAACTCAAAAGGAAGAAAGGTCACAATCATACAATGTTATGCACCTACAAATAATGCAGAGCAAGAGAAAAAGGAGGATTTCTACAGACAACTTCAATCAACACTGGACAAGACGTCAGTTGGCGATATCAAAATTCTGATGGGTGACATGAATGCCAAACTGGGAGGGGACAACACAGGAAGAGAACTAACCATGGGTCGAGAAGCGCTAGGTGAAATGAATGAGAATGGAGAATTGTTTGCAGAATTCTGTGCATTCAACGATTTGGTGATTGGAGGGCAGTGTTTTCAGGCACAAAGATATCCACAAAGCGAGCGACATGGATTTCACTAGACACCAGGACACACTAAAAATCAAATCGACTTTATCTCAATCTCAAGAAAATGGAGACGCAGTCTACTTAACACAAGGTCAAGAAGAGGAGCAGATGTAGGTTCACACCACTCACACCACTATCTAGTGCAAGGAACCTTCCAAATCAAGTTAAAAGCCTTCAAGGAAGCTGGTGATAGACCTCAACTCAAGTACAACACTCGGAAACTGAAGGATGAAACTACAAAGGAGATCTTCACGCAGCCATCCATCAAGACAAAATGGGAGACATCGAGGAACATCCCTGAAGAAACCTGTGTGGAAGAACACTGGAAGTCTTTGAAAGCTATGTGGAAAGAAACCTGCACAACAGTATTAGGAAGGAAGAAGAAAGAAGACAAGGAATGGATCTCGACGGATACCTGGAAGCTGATAGAGGAGAGGAGGATGGTGAAGCAGAAGATAAACCAGTGCAAGGATGCTCAACGACAAGAGGAACTGAGCACAATGTATAAAACACTGGACAAAGAAGTGAAGAAGAGTGCACGCAAAGACAAACGACACTTCTACGACACACTGGCAAGTGAAGCAGAACAGGCTGCAGGTAAGAGAGACCTGACGACATTGTATCAAATAACCAGGTTGCTATCAGGGAAGAGACCAACACAGATGAAACCAATAAAAGATGAAGAAGGAAATTTAATTACAAAAGAAGAGAAACAGAGGAAACGATGGGCCGACCACTTCAAGAAGCTCTTGAATCGACCACCACCACCACCTGCACTTCGTCCAGAAATACCACCTGCAGCCGCTGAATTACAAGTGAACATAAATCCCCCAACGAAAATGGAAGTCCTGAACGCCATAAAGCTACTGAAATGAGGGAAAGCAGCAGGACCAGATGGAATACCGCCAGAAGCACTGAGAACAGATGCAGAGACAACAGCGGACATGCTCACACCACTATTGCAGAAGGTGTGGAAGGAAGAGAAGGTACCTGGCCATTGATTGGAAGAAGGGTTACCTTGTCAAACTGCCGAAGAAGGGAGACCTCAGTGCTTGCAAGAACTGGCGCGGAATCACTCTCCTGTCCACCCCAAGTAAAATATTAAGCCGCATCATCCTAGAGAGGCTTAAAGACGCACTGGATTCAAAACTGCGACCGGAACAGGCAGGCTTCAGGAAGTACAAATCATGTGCAGACCAAATTGCAACGCTTCGCATCATCATAGAACAGAGCATAGAATGGCAATCAGCTCTCTACCTCAACTTCATCGACTTTGAGAAGGCCTTTGACAGCGTCGACCGAGAAGTAATTTGGAAACTGCTTCAATACTACGGAGTACCGCAAACCTTTATCCGCCTCATTCAACAACTATATGAAGATGCCACATGCCAAGTAATCCACAATGGGAAGCTCAGTGATGCCTTTGAAGTGAAGACAGGAGTGAAACAAGGTTGCCTACTATCCCCCATGATATTCCTTATTGTGGTCGACTGGATCATGCAGCAAACAGTAGGCAGCGAGAAGAGGGGGATACACTGGACGACGGAAAAGAACCTAGAAGACTTGGATTTCGCCGATGACTTGTGCCTAATGTCACACAAACTTGAAGATCTGCAGGCAAAAACTAACAAGTTGATAGAAGAGGCAGCGAAGACGGGACTTCAGGTGAATATAGAGAAGACAGAAGTGATGAAGATACCGCACCACCACCATCAACAACAACAACAAACTCCAATCACCGTCAACGGGAGAAACTTGAAGGAAGTAACCTCCTTCACTTATCTAGGAAGCACTGTTTCAACTACAGGCGGCACAGACGAGGACGTCAAAGTCAGAATCGGAAAAGCAAGACAGGCGTTCATTAGCCTGAAACCAGTGTGGAGATCTTCTGCACTCAGCATGTGGAACAAGATACGGATTTTCAACACCAACGTCAAGTCAGTGCTCTTGTATGGCTCAGAGACTTGGCGCGTCACGAAAGGCATTTCCAATAAACTACAGACATTCATCAACAACTGCTTACGCTCGCTGCTGAAGATCAGATGGCCAGAAAAAATAAGCAACAAGGAACTCTGGGAACGAACCAACCAAGAACCTATCACGCAACAAATATGCAGGAAGAAGTGGAGATGGATTGGCCATGCACTGAGAAGGCCGACTGGGGACATCACGCGTCAGGCCCTCGAGTGGAATCCCCATGGGAAGCGACGAGTTGGACGTCCGAGGGTGACATGGAGGAGGTCATGCGAGGAGGAAATGAGAGGCTGTGGGCTGTCGTGGGACCAGGTTCAAAAGATCTCAGAGAACAGAGGTCACTGGAGGCGTGCTACTGAAGCCCTATGTTCCACTAGGAACCCAAGGGACTAATAATAATAATACATTACCATTAGTGGCCAATGATATGGTTATTGGTCGTGAAAATTGTCATCCTAAATAGGTTTGCATAAGGAAATTTGTTGCGGTACGTAATATTTCAACTAATTGGCACGTCTAACTTGCTCCAAGACCAACTATCGAACCTCCTGGGAGTAAATGTAAATGAGGATTGATTCCACCTACAAAGTTTCGTGAAAATGACAGCTAAAGTTGATTCCAGCTAGTAAGAGCGTCTCATTAATAAACGCTAGAAGTCTGCGGGTTCCTTTCACCTTCATGCTGGTTGGTTAATTCTCATGGATGGTGAGTACAACGGTATGCAACAAATCTCACAGCGCTTACTCAAAGATTTCAAGACCTTACGGTCAGAATGTTCATTTGGGTTGAAAGTGGTGGGTGTATCTAGCAACAGTCAAAAGCTCCCAGATCATATGAACCACTGGTAACAAAAAGCCTGTTACCATTGAAACAGTCTGCCAGTGTGATAGCACAATCACCAGAAATCGCCAGACTCCTGTCTGTATCGCTTAGAAAAGCAATGTAACTCCAACCACTTGAACCTCAGCTTTCTATCCTCCATAGTCGGGTATCATTGACCCGCCTAACGAAGTGGAAATTCATAAGGAACTCCAATTTTGTTTCTCCTATTCATGACAGTAGGGCAAATATACATTGGCATTATTCACCTGGTTTTCTTCTGAATGTTAGTTGGATTTCACATGTACTGTTTAGCAGCCGAATTCGCTGGTCATACCAGGATGGTTTGATTGTGAGAAATTTATATCATCCATTTGACAGTTGCACTCATGAATCGTATACTTGTAATAACTAGTGTTATTATGTTCAGCTGCAGGACGTGTAAGACCAATAATGTTGATCACAAATTGATAGTGAGTGTGCAAGCTTAGTTGGGTTTTTCTTTCCTATCACTGGCATACGCCCGTGAAATTATCCCATGCTGGATAACTCTCTATGTAAACCACAAGATGTGGAGGCGTTATAGTGGTGTTAAAATGTACAAAATTGATGGGATCTTTCTCAACTTTGAATTTCATGACATTACCGGCAGTACTTCAGTAGTTCATACCAATAATAAATGCAACACAATCAGGTGTAGGTATACATAGTAAGCTACAAGTCACACTTGGTTTGTGAACATATCATACTGCCTGATGGTTTAGGTCGAAATAGATGTAGTGGGACCTGAACCTTGATCCTCTGTTTGGAACTCTAATGCTAAAGCCAATGACTTACATGTCCGACAGTTCAAACTATTCGAATGTAGTTGGGAATTTGAGATGTATTGATTTCTATGTATGTCAAACAGTTTGCAACTTTGTCAAAAATGTCATGACTCGGTAACTCTTGTTGGTCATCTATAATTTCAACAGAGCTGTTGTTGAAAAGCACAGAAGCCACTTAAATGTTTTGTTCGGATGGACTATATAGCTTTTGAAAGTCTCCAAAATTTCCCATCTTTGGAGCGTAGTCAGATGTTTTTCGCCTGAGTGATAATATTGTGATAATTAATGCTATTTGTACATATTTTAGTAATAAGTTATCTTATACTTTTTTTGATTCTACGCAGTATCTACACATATTTGTCTGCAATGCCTGCGCCTTTTACTCTCTAACTTGTTTCCGTACCCTTTACATTGTGGTGATACTGAAAGTGAAAAGTATTTTCCTCATATAGGGTTCAGTACTACACTTGAAAGGGCGCAATGTGGTCGAGAATCAGTTTGTCAAAATGGGTGCTTATCATACACTGGATCTAAAAATCGATGAAAAATTTACGATTTCTAAAACAGAATGGGATAGTGTTGCTATAATGCTTGTTGAGCAAGCGTCTGATCCAACGCAACAAGCTGATCTTGCTGCAGTAATCATGCATGAAGGTTTAGCATATGTTTGTCTCATAACAAGTACGACTACAATTGTGCGGGCAAAGATTGACACAACGATTCCACGCAAACGTCCAGGTTTGCCAACTGCCCAACATGAGAAGGGGTTATCGCGGTTTTTCGAACAAATTATGCAAGCTTTGGAACGCCATATTCGTTTTGATAGTAAGTTTTCTCAGCGGGTGTAAATATTTCGTCTTATAACGACTGCATATTATACTTATTTCCTAGTACTCATATTCCTCGTTTTTTATTATCATAGCATGTACCGATAAAATAAGTGGTTTGTTGCACTGATGCATTATCATACTGTATTTTGTGTTGTTTAGTTTACTTATTTATTTGTAGGTTCTTAGCATTGATTTATCACTTTTTACACGCTTTACCAATAGCATCCATTACGGTTATCCGCATAGCTTTATCGTGTAGAAAGCTTTCGACAAACTTCAAAGATTGGTCCAGACATTAAAATTGTATTTCTTGAGTTATGTAATTCGAATACCGCTTGGCCTGCAGGTGTTTTAGTACTTAGCTGTTATTTTTAACTTTCATACTCTGGGTGTTCATACATCATTTTATAAAACTGGTTTTAACTACTGCCTTGTACTATAGATGATTTGTTGTCTCGTTAGCAGGTTGCATTTATTTATTGTCGTAAAGGTAGCTTATGATCCTGCAAAAATACTTTAAGCATACAAAGCAACGGTTTGTTGCGTTAGCTGCTCTTTTTATTGGCTGAATTTAATCCGTTTTTCAATAGTCTTACGGATAGATATGTGGGGTTGTGTATAAAATTTACTAAGTTACGCTGTCTATAGCACAGATGGTGTGTATCCAGCTGTTACTGTACAACAGTTTGCTGCGTTCTACCCAATGATTACGAAAATATGTTCTCCAGAACCAGTATGTGTTAAGGTTATCCTATCGCAGTTATTATCTTCAAAGTGTTGGTAACATGTTCTGAGGCAGTATTAAAATTGGACACATCTTTGGGTAAGAAAGGAAAGTTATTTCTTAAGGTGTTCACTTGAACCAACTTTGACATATTTTATTTAGGACTGATTTAATCAGGAAGAAACTTTAAGGTGCCAAGATTAAGAGGTTGTATTAATCCGTAAGTTCAGTAACTGTTTTCAGAAGCCAATTAAGGATTTTTGAAGTAGCTGGTCGTAATTCTCAAAGTGCAAGGTGTCAATTGTTGAAAGTTAGCTGATGTTTCTCAATTCTGTTTACAGCTGTACCATTGCATTCCCTAAGTTTTCGAATATCTTACTACTTTTTAACTGTTTGCCATTTGCTGTAACTTACATTCGTAATACTTTAAGTTTTACCGATTCTCTCTTTGTAGACTGTTACATAATTAAGCAATTCAAATTAACTCGTTCTGAAAAAGGTTCTATGTTCTGCTGTCTCAGCCTATGAACAAACTCAAATTTCATTTACTAGACCTACCAGGTGTGTTAACACCACGTTATTTTAAAGATGTATTCACTTGGTAACCACGAAACCATGACCTACTTCAGTTACCACTACATTCTAGAAACATGGATATTTATTTACTGTTGTAATGTCAGCCATTTGATAGAAGTTGGTGTACTTGGAGTTTCATTATAGTTCGTTGTTATTCTGTTGACTTACTTAATTCGTGAATTCCTACTGAAATATGCACCTTTTGTGCTCATGCCATGATTACGTCATAGATTTTAGTACAATAGCGTTTGATTGATTTGCTACTAGCGAAGTCTCAGTCACAGCAATTAGCTGTATGACTGCTACAAATGCGGAGTGGTTAAGTTCTGATTCACCTCCATCGATGTCTTCTCACGTGATCGCTTATTCTGCAACCAATTGCTAAGTCCTGTATCACGATTAGTCCAACAATTCGTCTGACCTAGCTTCCATACAACAAAAGGCCAAGTCTAATTCTCACAATCTTTTGTATTTGGAATCTGAGTGATATATACAACTGGATTACATGTCTACAACGCACTATAATTCATAAGGAGAAGTGAAATAACTGATTTCCTAGACGGAAAATGGAATAATGCGCAATTATCGACTTCCCTGAACATGAAATTTTTTAGGAATGATGAGTTACACGGAAATAAATGAGGGGTCAATTAAAAGCCGCTGAACTGAGCTACACAATCATACCACAAAATAAGTCGGAAGTAGGGTGTTTTCAGAACGAAGAAAAACAATTTGACCGATTATACCTTAAATTCGTGTATTTCCTGCTTGAGTTGATATAACAATCATAACAGAAGTTAGTCAGTTATTTTCTGAAGTAAAGCAATATCATAGTGCATGAATACTTTCAACTGATAGGTTTTAAAACACCATAAAGCTGATGACGTCATAAACACCACTGACGGGAAAATTGTATACTTTCAAGATCACTGCTCTCCTGGTATATGAAATGTGTAAAAAGCTCTAATTTATGAAGTCAAGAGTAGCAATGAGTAAAGTTAGTGCCAAGGATGTCACCAAGTCTGGTGATAACACGTACAGGACAAAATATCAAAGCTCAGAGAACACCGAACCATCATCATCCTTATCCTGAACTAAGAAGTGTTTTCCTTCATTTCAAATAGCAACGATTTTTTTCCGAAACTGATTCTACTACTGCAAAGGAATTTTCAGAGATAAACTGGTTTTTTATAGACGTAGCGGCATAGAGTAATAGTTTGAAACTTTGATAGCTGCACTCCTTTTTATAGGCTAAAATCCTGACTGGCAAACACCAAATATGTTGTTAGAGTATACAAAAACAAATGAAATCCTTCCTCAAAAGTTCTTTGTCTCTTCTTTTGTGTTTAGTTGTCAAATGTATAATCTTAGCCAGTCCTGGATTTCTACGTGAGCAATTTTTCGAGTTTGTAATCCAAACAGCAACAAGACAAGAAAAGCGTGTATTCTTAGAGAATAAATCTAAATTTATGCTTGTTCATTCTTCATCTGGTCATAAGCATGCTCTTAAAGAAGTGCTGACAGATCCTATTGTTATGAGTAAGCTGGCCAATACAAAAGCGACTTCTGAAGTAACTGCTCTAAATGATTTCTATCAAATGCTTAAAATGGACCAGTCACGTGCATTCTATGGGTATGTTGAGTAAATATGTGATGATTAATATCAGAGTTTAGTTCGTGATCATGTCCTCGTCCATTATTCATACTCCTGATCACACTATTTTAACAGTGTTCTGATTAAATATTTGTGTAAGCTATTTCTTATATGACAATTCATTTGAACCCACTACAAGCGTTATAAATTCATGCACTAGCTTCTGGCAAATTAAAATCTTGGAATTCATGTGTATCGATTCATAATTATTGGAGTCAGCTGAGAAAATATCCATCAATGAAGTTGTTTATGTCATCGAAAATCCTGTTTGATTCCTTCATTTTTTGTGTAAATAATCCTGGTATGCAAATTCTGACAACAATTCAACAATTTTTTACTCTATCCAGCTACATAACAAACAGTCTTCCATAGGTTAGGGTAAACGTATACTTGGATTCATTTCAGGCCAATAAAACAAACAGATAAAAACAAGCGAAATCTTGCGTTCCACTTCAACGTTTAAGAGATGTTACATCACAATACAATGGGAAAAAACTGACAAGTAGATTATATAACAGCCATTTAAGATATGTGGGGAAAGACGGCCAATATATAAAATTCAATAAGATGTTACATTTGCGCATATTGGTAGCGAAATGAATACGTTGGCGGCAATGTGATCGATTTAGACCACCTCACCTAACGTCTTCGACAACGGATTTTTAACATATCTAAAACATCAATCAAACTTTTTGCTCTTCCGTATATTGTCCGAAATAACTGATAATGCAGTAAATTCAAACAAGATCAACTTGTTAACTGAAATAATTTTTGGCATGTTGCATAAAAGCAACATATGTAAAGTTGATTACAAACTAGCAGTCCTGTGCATAAATTTGTGTAATACTACGCTGTGGGCCACATTAAATGTGTGAAGGGTCATGACACTGTGCAGTGACCCAGATCCTAATTAGGAAGAGTAGTTTTTAAATATAATCAGATGGTGGGTATTTAGAAGTTTAAGGAATTGGCCTACAGTTTCTCATAAGCAACATTTAAAATGCCCTTTGAAAACCGACTTTATTATGACAATAGTCATAATTAGTTTTTGAAATCATTATAATGGACTTGGTAGGTGGTTGAATCTTCACTTTGTTGTATCTTGGTCTTACGACTGAGACTCGAACGCATAGACCATCAAGCTATAAACAACGACATTGTTAAGGGATTTCTATAAGAGGCCTATTTGTTAGCAAAAGTAGACAGGAGAGACGTCAAAAACTCTTTATCGACCTCTGTATCCCTTATGGTTATCTGTATTAGTTTCTGTTAGTTTTTATTTCAATCCTCATGAAATACCTATCTATCCGTATTTTTTAATTATTTTCCGTTAATTTGTACTTTTTCCCTCTATCTCCTTTTTATAGTTATAAACATGTTAAAACAGCTTGTGATGCATGCGCTATTGACACGCTACTAGTATCGGACGCTTTATTTCGTTCACGGAATTTGGATGAAAGGAAACGATATGTTGAGTTAGTAGATCAAGTGAAAGATAATCAGGGCACTGTACGCATATTTTCTAGTCTACATGTTTCTGGCGAACGTAAGTTTATAAAGAGTATTTATTTTATTAGTACCTTTATCTCTTTAGGAATTTTTTCACATGTATTATATATATATATATATATATATATATATATATACATGGTGATGTCGTCAACGCTGGTGCTTAGTAGCACAAATTCGAATCATTTAGAAGTATGAACGTATGTATTGTTATTCAGTAGTTTGGTCACTTGTCACAGATTTTAATTCACTCGGCCCCACTAGTCAGGCAGTGTCATCAAATCTTACACACCTACTACATATGGTGTGCAGTTTACAACTTAACTCATTAGTGTTTTAAGAATATCACAACATAAGATTAAATATGGACTGGTTGACAAGCATTCTGATTACTAATTTGAGTGTAACAACTAATTTGTGTTCTCCGAACATTGACATTTTATACTGAACATTTCATTACCGAACTTCACTAGCACTTACTTCATGAAGTGACTGCTAATGAATTCACCCGATCTAATAGTATAAAAAGCTCCCAGAGTCGAAAGCCAAAGCTCAAAAAGAAATTAAGCAGCTATTATCTTTATCCGGAGTTAAAAAAACTCCTCTACTATTGTATAGTCTGAGTGTTGGTACAGTCTACTGTTTTCAATTCGATTCAAGAAAGGCGTGCTGTTGTATAAGTGTTTGTGGTTGATCGATAAATGATATACAAACTATATACGGAACTACTTATTATTTCATTTTTTTCTCGCACAATTCTGGTTCAATCTTGACGACAAAAGGCCCACAGAAAAACAATTGTGATAGAAATGCGCTATGAAGTCTTCATTGTAGTACATTGATTTATGGTCAGTGAGGGCTGCAATACAACACGAAACATTTAGTTATTTCAGGGAAGCACTCCTCAAACTCTGGACAAATTCAGAGAGAAATGGAGTTCCATTGCTCCATTCTCATCTCTGCCTCTGGTAATATGTGCCATTAGTTCCCTCCGGATTCTGGAACGTTGTATACCACTGGTTTGAAACCAGGCGTACGACTTCTCGATAAATCTCCTGTATTCACTATCACAGCGATAGGCTCTAGACATGTGATCTTAACATCACACTTTTATGGGAGGAACTCAACAGTTTGAAGGTAATGATTATGAATGTATAGTCACATTAGAGCATTTGCAGGGGTAGACTGAACTCAATCAATCCTCAACTGTATTAATGAGTAGTTTTCTCTGTCCAGTAGTCACGAAATATTAATTAATTAATGAGTAATTATCGATTACCACTGAAGATTAGGATATGAAAACTTTTGTTTTTCAGCGAATAGTTTGCTTGCATTTAATATTGAATTTAATGTTTCGATCTCTGTTCGCTACTGGGCATGCTACTTATATAATGCTTAATGTTAACTTCTACAGAACTTAATCAACTGACAGGAGTTGCGGCGATACTACGTTTCCCAATACCTGAACCAGTGACAGACGAATCAGACAGTTCCCAAGATGATGGTGATAATTAAAACACTATGTAACTTTAAAGTTTCTTCTAAAGATGAAAGTCTACTTTATGATAAAATATTGTGCTTTGTAACTATTATCTCCAAATCTGTACAAAATTAGTTTTCTTTCCTCTTTTGTTGCTGCCATGGCATATTATTTTGATTTGCAGATATTTCTGTATTATATATACTTTGATGAGGAATAAATTAAAAGGATAACTGCATCATATAGTACATTCAAGTAACAAGGGTGTTGTGGCTTCGAACCCGGTTGGACTCGAGTTCTAGGCAAGTTACACTAAACGTCACACATTAGGTGTGGCTCATTTACTGGTGCATGAACTTGTACATGATTGTTCAATCGCATTTGTTATGCGGATGTAGTGCTACTATCCTATGTGATTGTTTTTAAACCAGCAAAGTGATCTCGGTTTCGTTATTTTGATGAACTGATCAATCTGCAGAGGAAATCGGAAGAATGAAGGTTAGTGAAAATATTCGTACTTCCAAAGATATCAAACGGTGAATATATGTGCTCCATTTTAACTGAATTTCAACCGTTTCATAAATCATTAGTTTCTATGATCCCGATGACCTCTACATCTCCCTACATGGCTCAGACCAATAAGCAAAAACTGCATGAAGTAGGCCATATCTTAGTCTGGCCAATCCACGCCTTTTTCTACTCAATCCTACTTCAGCTGATATTATTCATCAAGCATGCGCAACACCTGTCTAAGCCACCTCAGTCGGCGAAGGTTCACAACCTCATGGACTTAATTTCTTCCCTTTTCTACTACCTTTCACCTAACCTGGTCATTGCCCACACGGTGACTTCACCATATGTCAGCAGTGCTACGACGACACCTGTACTTTTTTCATATCTTTTAATTTTATCGGTCATGTCTTACAGCCGCATAAAGGGATATAACGGGTTACAACACATTATACTCATCCTTTGAGGGATAGTCTAACAACTATCGGTCGCTAAGGATGATGCAAGTTAGTGTATACCATTGTTCCAAACTAGAAGTGGAGTTGGGCAGGGTTGCCCGATTTCTTTATTCCTATCTAACTTTGGTGTTGATGACAGTCTTGATACAGCTCTGAAGGAAGTGCGTAGTGGTGTAGATCTACTGCTTAAAGGATGGCCATTCGACCCTGAACATGCTTACGATGTCTTACTGTGCTATAACACACAAGCTACTCAAATCGTAGTTTATTAGTTGCCGTAAGTATTGTGGTATGTACTTTGCACCATCGAAGTTCAAAGTACTTTTGCAAGACTGACAGGAACCCATGCCTGCGCTCACTCTCCGTGGTGAGCCGTCGGAAGTAGTCGAAAAGCTCGCTAATCTGGGTAGTCGTGTGAGTGCTGGTGGAGGTATGAGTGGTGAAATTTCCAACCGTATATCGAAAGCCAGGATGGCCTACACCAATCTAGGCCACCTTTGACGCTTTCGCCACCGTAGTTTGACCATAAACAGTTGGCATTACAACGCTTCGGCGCGAACAGTTCTACTCTACGCCTGTGAAACCTGGCCTCTCCGAGCTGAATATGTGCAACGACTCTGTGTTTGATCGTCGTCGTCTCCACAGGATTCCTCGTGTTCGGTGGCAACACCATGTAAGTAGTCCTGAGGTAGGACAACGTGTTTTCGGGCATGATGGAAACCGTCGTTGAATAAGTGAGGACATCTGGAAACACCGGCTCCCGTGGCTTGCACGTGTGTTACGCATGTCGTCCCAATAACTTCTATATGATCCATTAATTGCTAGCCCTTGAATTGGATGGAAGAAGCCGAGGGGTGGACAGTGTATGGCGTGGCGCTGTGGGATGAAGGATAGTTGTATCAGGTTAGCATTTGTTGGTGCATCACGACTCCCTGGGTAGGGTCCGATAGATCAGGCAACTCAGCGGCTTGGAACATTATCAGATATGGCTCGGAATCGAAACCAATAGCGGTCATGCTGTAGCTTCCTTTTATCTTCTGCTGCTGAAAAGTAATGAGTGTTTTGTTCTGAAAGTATCTTAATCAACTGCCCTACTAATCATGCTATTCTTATTGTATTTTTTTTCTTACTTATATCCACTTGCCATCGCTTTATTTCTTTACATTGTTACTATACTATTTAGTGCGGCTCATTTCTTGGTGCCTTTGACGTGCCCTGTTTGTGTTGTGATAAGTGAATAAATATATTCAGATAAATACTGAGCTATCTTCTCCCTAAATACGCAGTTGACGTCCTCATTTTACAATCGAGAACAAGTTTCACTGGTATATTTTCCTGCAACCAGTAAGATGCGAACATACGCGCGTGATCGGAGTCTAAGCAGGTGCTCCAGAAACATCGGCAATCCTCTCCAAAGATGGTTTAAGTAGTATGACTTACCAGCTTCCACCACTGGTTCGACTTCAGGGGATGCCAAGTGAAATTGTGTCTCTCCTTAAGTTTGAAGTTAGTACTGGTCAGAAAAAGGTGGTTATCAGAACAGAACTGTCGGGCAATTCATCGTTGTTAATTATTTGGCGTGGGATACCGTTGATAACTCCAGTACGTCTTCCCGACTGGCTCAGCTTTCCTACTTGACAGTTGAAGTCGTCTGCTGTAAAGCGTTCTGCTTTATGTATCAAAACTGACAACTTTCGATAGGATTCATCCTGTGTCGTCCGAAGAGCTGTCAGCGGAGATTACAAATTAGCACCGGCGATTGTTATTTTTCCTAGTTCTTAAAGGTCCATTCACTCGGATCACATGTAGCCAGTTGTTGACTAGTGTCTAGTCATGAAGTGCGCTTCCTGCTTGCTCTAAAACTTAATCGTATGTCTAGACTAGCGGGTCTGCGAGAGCTAGTCACTGAACCTCCGGACTTTCGTTAGGTGAATTTTACAGATTCGCCACATTATTCGGGAGAGGTCAAGTGAACGACCACACTTGAATCCTGTTTACGAATCCTTTACCGCTCACTAAAAATCTGGGGCCTGCTGTATGTATCATATGCCAGATGTTATTTATTGCTCAGTACATGTAATTTGTGAGTTTCATTTGCATGACACGAATATCTCCAAATTAGTGTCAATCATACGATTCTCAACCAGAATAAAAAAGCTTTCCCATGATTTCGAGTTCCGTAGCTTCCGTCAATTTGTAGCGAGAAATATCATTACGCCATCAAAGTTAATGTGTTAGGATAAAGACTACGAATAATCCGTAAGGGTTTTATATTGGAGTATCGTGAAAAAGAAACAAAAAGTAAGATGTAAAAGACAAGTAACGATGACCATGAAGGGTCCCCTACAAAATATCGGACCCCCATTATCCTCATCTTGAACTAAAAGTCGTTTCCCTCCTAGTCTTTTGTTTTTAGGTCTAACTCCTTGACTTACAGTGAATCTGGCCAAGCGCAGTGGTGACCAGTTTTTCAGTATTTTTAGCAGCAAATGATTTTATAGGCGGATGTATGTATATAGTTGGAATCACAGCGAAAAAAAGAACACAGCAGCCTGGCTGCGACATATCGATCCCACAACACATTAATATAGACATTTCTGCTTCACACCTGTGAAAACTAACGTCTCTAGACTCGTCCAAAAACGCTGTTTCGAATCATCGCTGTCTGCGTAGGATTGCTGGAATCTAGTAGACAATATGCAAGCAGTACCGAGGTTCATTACCCCTTGTCTGGATATGACAGGCACTGTCATTCATTGGAAAGTCAACTTTGGTGGCTTGAACATATGTTATAAATGTTGTTCTAGTTCGTATACTGTTTGCTAGCCATCGGACTGGTTGGGACGCGACGTGACACCACGAGGTGAAAGATAGTTGTGTTTGGTAAGCACCTGTCAGTGCTTCACAACTTTATGGGTGAAGTCCGAGGAACTTTGCGGCTCTAAATATAGTCAGATTAAATGCTGAGTTTTCACTGAAAACTAAGCGTGGTAGGTGTCTTTATAAACATCTATAATTATTCATTGAAAGTACTACCGTTTACAGCCATCAAGCACTCTTTACCGATGAGAAACAAAGAAAAGTTACTCATTGGGTTGATGGTTGTTTTATTGCCATTTACTGCGAGAGCCAAGTGAGCGCAAACAAGAATGTGGAGGTAAAACCAGTCCTTTTTACTGTTATAAGGTATGCAGAAGCTACCATCCTATTAGTCTCATTTGTTTTAGGTGAATTAAGTTTCCATGGTTTTATAAGTGTGCACCAAGTACGGCGATGCTGACCCTTCTCCTAAAAACGATTTTTGCACCTTTTATTTCCGTTTGCTGTACACCTGTGAGGGAGTTTCAACAATGTGTGCAAAGATCTACCAAATCAATTTAGCTTGTCTATACTGAATAAACTATCCTAATGCTCAAATAGACACCAAAAAGGGAAAAAGATGTGCAACCAACTACATCAAGACACGAGGGTAGTGACTGTCTTGTTGGTCAGCATTAACGTATTACTGTCAAATCCTATGGAATGCCAGTTATGAAGATGCAGTCTGCGTTGTGCACGATGAAGCTCTGGTAAATTCAGTAGCATATATATGACACTGAACAATGCACAAGGACATACATACACAATAACGTAGACTGCGACACTGACTTGGGCGTAACAACATGGAAATAAACAGTTTTTTAAAGGTCAGATGGTAATGCAAAGGGTAGAAGTGGGTTTAAAAATCGAATGGGTTAAGGATAGGTTACATGATTAACTATGAGTTTGGATAATAGTGCAGTCTCAGGGTCATGTGGGTTTTAGGTAGGAAAATAATGTTGACACAGGTGAGAACTGAATCGATTGAGGGTAGAATACGCCGTTCACAGTAAGATAATAGTACTTACGGAGACAGTAACAAAACCAGGTATGTAATGAGATTAACATCGGTAACAGGGATAAGGTTAATTAGGTATAAAAAAAAACCAAGGAAGGAAAACAAAAGTATAAGATGGGTGATAATTAAGAGCAAAGAGTGAGTAAAGAAGATTGAATATGATTCGACATTGTAATTCCCACCATGGCAGATTCGAACTGAATAACGTTTCCTTCTATATGCAGAGGTTTAGTCTAACGACTCGAATCACACAAGTATTCGCAATTTGGTGTCTACTAATAACCGTAAAAGACTTACGGGTATCAATATCATAGCCATAATCCATTAGGTGTTGCGTTGGCGAGCTCCTCACAGTCTTCTTCTCGGCATGGTTCAACCACTCGGGTAGACAGACGCCTCTTCGTATGGCCAATGCATTTACTTTCGCAGGTACACCCGAACTGATGCATACAACTACATGTATCGAGGATTAGAGTCCCGTTTTTCCCTGTGCTGCAGTTTGCTCTGCTCTACTGTATGGCTGTGAAACATAGTCACTAAAGATAGAGAACATGAGAAAGAGTCAGGTGTTTGACTGCCGTGACCTTTATAGCGTAGACCGTGTGCCGTGGCGTCATCACGTCAGTAGTGCATAATCCAGGTGTTGAGTTTTAGGGAGGAGAGGAAAGTCAGTTGGTGCAGTCATGAACCTTCATCAACTGAAGCGGTAGGGACGTATGTTACGCGTACCTATTCACCGTCTGTCTCGTAGCACAATGTTAGCTTAAGTAGCTTCAGGCTAGAAAAAGGCTGAGTGAAGCCAGACCACGACACGGCATGAAGTCTTTGACTGCTGGTCTGAGCCATGTGGGGAGATGAGGACCAGCCGGTTGAGGTTCACGTAACAAGATCAATAGTTGGAGACTAGGTGATATGGCTCAAAATCAATGCCAGTGGCGCAGATGTATACGCACCTTATCTTAATCTCAATACCAAATTCTGCATCTTTCCTTTCTTTTACTGCTTTTGTGTGATTCTTTATTTCTTCTTCTTATTGCTTTGCTACTTGGTGCGATGATGAAGTGTTGCAAATGGGACTATGCCTGGTCCTATGTTGATATATATATATATATATATATATATATATATATATATATATATATATATATATATATATATATATATATATATATATATATATATATATATATATATATATATATATATATATATATATATATAGCTTGAGAAACTAACTGAAAATAAAACCAGAAAACTCTATGTTTCCGATTGTTGTAGATTCACCAGTGATCTAGACCGGCTGCTAAGATGCAGGAACATTCAACTCACCGAATTATCAAAAGGTTGATTCTGTTTCACGTAAGTACCATATTTAACCGCGTCACTTCATCCTGTAACTCTTGTTCCCCTTGCTTTGGTGGGGAACTATCTGCGTCAATACGATAAATTTAGAGCATAACCCTCGTTCTGAAACCTCCGATTTAGACTCCGTTGAAGCGTTTGATCACGAAGTTTGCGAAACCTAAATAGGTAGTCACAGACTTCATGAGTGGCTATCGTGTCTTAATTTGACCACCGTATACGATCAAATATAAGTAACACTGCACTTTGGGTTACATGGTGACTGAAAAGATACAGTATATGAAATCAGTTGAGCTATTTGCACTAAGCAGCACGCTAAACTTAAACACATTCCCAAGGTATCTTCAGATTCTATTTAGTTTCATCACAAGCCCCACCGTTGGGCTGCTCACCAAGATAGTATTAATAAGAGATATTTCTTCTTGACCACTGCTCCCTTTTCTGTAAATAGGTTTACTGCAAATATTTATCGAACTAAATATCTATCACATTTTCTTTGGAATTTGACAAATGTTGAGAAGTGAGACTTGTTACCTTTGTAACAATTATTAATGAAATGAACCATTTTTACCACGCAAAAGGAGGTGACAACAGAATCTGCGTAAGAGTCAAAAACGTCTTACAAAAGTACTTATTGAATGTAGCTCGACAAGTACGTGCACGTTTGTTCTCCAGAAAATGCACCACGTCTATCGTTAAGAGGATGATAATACTATCTGGCTGCTCGAACCTTGACGGGTAGTAAATTTCGAAGCAGAAACCTACTGTTTGTAAATCGATTGCCTAAATCAATGAGTCAAAACCCAAATGAGTGGTTATACCTATCTCAAGAATTTGATTAAAACCTAAAGCATGCCACGAAGGTGACTTTACAACACAAAACACTATATCCCCAAACCAAGACTTTTTTGAGAAGCTAGATAATTGTTACTCAGGAAAAGGAGCAAACGTAGGTATTAATCAATCGATTCAAAATTAAGCAAATAAAAAAAAACATGCTCATATTATGTTCAATAAACATGGACCATGCCATAGATAAATGTCCAAAATAAAATATAGGTGGTTAGTTCTCCAAATATCCCTCCATATGTCAAACATGACTGTTGAATGAAATATTTATTCCAAGACTTTCCAGTCTTCTGTAGTAATAGCAACGATAGAAAGCCATTTGCCATGAAATAAAACATAAACCCCATAAGTCCTGGGAAGAAAGATATGAATTACAATACGAACTTTTCTCACCTGTTAGACCTAATATTCCAGCGGTGCATCCAGAAAGTGCTGCGATGGATGTACGACAGTAGTTGACTATGGCAAGATTATGCTGCGCGGCCGATGGACTGTATGTGACTGAATCAGTTGGAGGTCCCATTTACTAGTATTTCCAGTTTAGCGTAGTTTTGATAACGAAACTTCCAAAAAGTATATAGTTGTAGTCTGGTTTTCTGAATAAGTTCGCTAAGGTAGCTTTCTGTTTTAGGGCGTTAAAAATACCCCTGGCTGGAAAGAATTGAAAACGATTTGCAACTGTTATCCATCATGTACATCTTTCTGTGCTATATGTGAAATAGACTGTTTGTGATAAATTAACAGTGAGATGACCTGCCGACCTGATACTAATTTTTTCTGTGTATAAAACCATTGCGAAACCTGAAATCACTCCAAAACACCTGATACCATACTTACAAATCATTAGTAGTATGAATTAGCTGATTACTGGGGTATGACACTGAAACATTCTGCATGTGCTCATATTATGCGAATAAGCAGTGTGAGGAAGAAATGAAAGCTTCTGGGTAGCCGTGGAGTTAGCTTTAAAAGACTGTAGAGGACAGAGTGAAATGCCGACGTGCTACTGAAGCCCTATGTTCCACCAGGAACCCAAAGGACAAATAATAATGAAAAGAAGAGCAGTGGGTAATCAACAAACTATTGTATCAGTCAATATGGAGGCATCTTGAGAAGTTTGCGTATTAATTATAATTCAGTGCCCCATACTACCGAGGTAACGCTTGCAATACAATTCAGCATTTATGTGCAAAACAAAGAGCATATGAAGTTTGCAGACGATTGGCGCCTTAATTCTTTACTAGGTTTTAAACTAGCAAAATATGAGGCGATAGTGACACTACGACAAAATCTTGGCCAAATGTTTTGTATAAAGTTGTTAGTAGACAATGGTTGCTGAAGATTATCACGAAAAATGTGTATATCCGTCGCAACAATTGGCATGACCACAGAACATCGAGTTTATTATTAGCGGGTAATCACTGTCAAAGATGTACGGCTTAACTAGGCCAAAAATTGCAAAGCTGTAAGTAAGCTTTGTACGATTACATAAGGAATGCCCAAACGTTCTGCACTTTAGCTACGGAATATTAACTGAAGTCCTAGATACTTCTGCCTTTTCGTCGCGGAAGCGGACAATTAATGACAACAGTGGAAAACGAAAAACGGGCTTCAAAGAATAAAAACGAAAATAGCAGTAAATGGATATCAAACGAACCATACGAAAACTTGGCCAAGTAACGAAAGATGTTCTAATGAGGCGGCTGTTCCTTTGAAGGTCGCATGTTGACAAGTTTTTGGTGCGTAAACCAAGATCTGCAACAGTAGTATCTCAAGATCTGTTTAGTTGGGTCGACCTCTAAAAGTATTCCGCTCGATAAGCCTTCTACCATTATATTTGTAAAGTGGTTTACTGCATGAAGAAAAAAGCTATGCAGGGAAACTCCGTAAATAATTTGGCCCTTCTAAAACAGTTAAACACCATCCTGTGAAAGGATTGAAGTATGAAAACTTATTCAAAATACCTCGATAATCGTCACACACTGCATTCAAATGAAGGATGCAGTATGCTGAGGATTCTTAAGGTATTTTATTGATCAGAGGGTACAGGAAGCAAGGTTGCTCTTCACACCCGTCCTTCCTTGAAACCCTATGAGATTTTTTTCACAGAATTAACACTAAAGGTGTATTGTGGTGGAGCATTAAGTTATGTGGAGGTCCCGGTTTCATTGGAGTCGTAGGAATTGTCTTTGTGCGAACCTGACAGATAGAGGCCAATCACTAATAAATTCGTACTTTTTATATACCCACGAATACGAGATCAAGGAAGAACACGGTGGCACGGTCAGATGGAAAAGCATATTTATGAGGTCGTGTCATGATACCGGTGCGTTCCAACTAACTGACCAGAAGGTCGATTACGAGCAGTGCAACGTGACACAACAGCGTGCCAAATACCGTGGATACTTGACCGTGTGCCTCCGGCTTGGCAAGTCCGGTAGAACTATGAAGGTCAGAATCAATGTTGAATCTCGTCCAATCCCGGGCGATTGGTTTGGGAGAAGTGTGTGACGCTACACAGTCTTGTTCTGCCCTCTTTAAGCTACTGTCACGTTGAACACGATGTTGATACAACTTATTAGTGGAGCTCTGGAACTGAACTTTACTCAGACCATCACCATGAGAGATTTTAACGCCCCTCGACTCTTAACCACTAAAAGTTCATCCACTGCTCTAAGAGATTTTTGGGAAAACTTCTTGACTGAACACGTCTTTTGGTGTACTAGCCTGGGTTTGATGGTAAGGCGTTCCGGCCAGATTATATATTAGAAAATTAGTCCATCGGAGTAACCAACTTAAATATCCTCAAGCCTTTTGGGTTGAGCGACCATGCAACCCTTTCCTTCAACGTTTTTATATCTGCGTCGTCCGCGTCTGATCCGCCATTGGTCAAGAATTGTAGTAGAATTGATTTTGAAAAGATGCAGCAGGATTTAGATGGTTCCACTTCCTTAAGTTTTGACAACCTATCAGATGTGGATTCAGAATGAGATCTGCGGTAGGAAAAAGACCTTCAAACGATCAATAGTGGCAGTCCTCTAATTCCAAGAAGTGCCGACAAGTTTTACTTCTCTTGACTTAAGTCAAGCACGCGTTAACTTATACTGGGTAAACAGTCATCTTAGAACCAGCGGAGGGTCACCTGTAGCTCTATTGACTGGCTAAATTACAATGGTGTCCGTCACGGATCCACGAGAAAACTACCAGACCCGACTGTGTGGTACCTTGGGAGGGAAGCGTTGGATACTGTGCTCGCTGATGAGTCAGAAGAGTAACGGCTCATTTAGCATGCAGGGCCCCAGTGGTTTAGGGATTCGCCACACTAACTCCGATGTAGAAAACTTACTACCTCTTGAATCTCAAAACAACCTCCGTCAGTTGCGGGAGACAACCACTTATCTGTCAGACTCCTGTATTGCAGAGGCGTTAACCCATATACCGTTTGGATTTTCGATAATTAAGGGAAGCCTTAAAAACTTTAATCTGCAATTCAGTGGCATTGATAAAACAGGAACAGTTTACGTGGTCCAAGCTTATGTTGGAAGCTGAAAGAGATTGCCCGACAATTTGGAGAACTGATCACAAGACCCCTGAGAAGAACCGTTTAACATTCTATAGGAAGCCAAAATTAAAGGACAGTCCGGAGAATAGGTGACAAGTATATAAATCGTGGGACCGTTGTAACACGGCAAAAATGATATTGGCTGAGTCTGGGGTATCTTACAGGAAGTAAGAGAAAAGAAAGTGGGAGAGGACGGCACCCTGGGCAGAGCCAGCTGAAGTGAATGAGGTGAGCGCTTCCCTCCGGTGTATTGCTTCCCTTCAGAGAAGTGGGACCGCCGCTAGTGTATAGTGTAGGGTTTATTATGCATCCATTCTAGCTAGTTTAATCCGAGGTATGGCGGATAAAGACACCCGGCTTAATTCCCATTTCTGTCGGCATTGTAAGCAATATTGTGATATAAGATAGAGGTGCCATCCAGCGGGCCTCTTTTGTGTTTGCGTGGGAATTGATTTAGATCTCCGAAAACCTGCAATGAAGATTCAAGCAAAGGTAGCATTAGCCTTCCTGCTATTTCCGAGAACACAGGAGTTACAACCGCTAGATGACATTTGAAACGTGTAAGTGATGGCACAGGTATAAGTACTGGGAGTGTCTTCTTAAGCGGCTGGTACGGTGCTGTTTGAAAACTCTTCATGAAAGACTTCAGCAAGTGGACAGCACTTTAGTAAACATGAAGTTTGTGACGCCATCTTAACATAAGATATGGGAAGAGTTCGAGGATTTGAGAGGCTTAAAATATCCTTCCCAGGTAATTTAAGACAACGTTATCTGTTGGATAAGACGCTAGAGGTTTTGCAAATTAATGGTTTGTTTAAGGTCCGGATATCACTACACGCTTCATCAATCCAGGTGTTTGTTATCGACAGGGTCTTCAAAATGTTTCGACATGCTGCAAGAGGTTTTGCGTGACAAATGTTTCTGACCACGTGGTATTTTCAGATGTTCAATCTCCAAACTTATTAGGCAGCTCAGTAGGCGAGCATTAATGTTGTACCTAGCTCCGTATAACCCTTTTTTGTTAGTGATAACAGTTAACGTGACAGATTACTAGCATCATCAAGTTGATAATTCTTGAGCGTTTATAAAACGGTACTCCGCATGTCAAGTAAGTGATGTGCACGATTTTATCAAAACATTCTGCAACTCACGAGACCGGCATGAAGTTATCATCTCCCATCACACAGATAGGTTCCGCTGTCAGGGCCAAAAGCACGGAAACCCCGAAGTTCGCGTTATAACCAGCCGATAGTGTTGGTCTATTCGCATGGTTTTCCACTTAGTATTATAAACTTCTACTCGTTAGAAAGCTTTGTGGAGTGCCACTAAGTAGCCACAGTTACATAACCAAAGTGAATGCCTAAATTAACGCATTTCGAGTTCATTACGCTACATTTAAAGGTAATATAGATCAATACCACCGGGAATACTTGTTGTAACCTACGGGAAAAGACTCTGAAACGGATAATCGTTCAATTAGCAGCAGTTATACATGAACTACGGGCACCTTTCATGTTAATGTAAGCAGCATCATTCCATAAATGTGTTCGATCCATAGCAAATTCCACTTGAAAAAGTCACTTAATGCAGAGTGCTAGAAAAGACTTGGTGTAGGGCTACCGCGGGCCTGTCGCCTTCAGAACTAGTAGGTGAATTGGTCTCCTGTCTAATCATCTGTTTGGAATACCTCTGCTTCATAGCTGCCGGAAAAACTTGAGGGTTTTTTCACTTGAAGAATCCCGACTATTAGGTGAGTTGATTGCGTAGATGCTCCAGAAACGTCGAAAGATTGAAGGCTACCCAATAAGTCTTATAGTAACAGAGACGCAGCTGTTCTCGTCAGGCATTTATGTTCAAATTTAAATTCGGCATCAAATGTTCTCACAAGGCTGCTGCTGCAAAGCGGAAAAAGAAGTACGGGTAGATATGGAAAAGGTAACTACCACGCAATCCAACCTGCAGTAAAGAGAAGTTCATATTCGTTTAGACCCATTCGAACTATGTGTACACTTTTAAGTACGCATGTTGGATGTACTACTTAGTTTTTTCATCATAAGGTTCGTAAAATATTCTATACGCAGGATGTATCGTATCAGATTTGAAAGGAAAACAGAATGCATTGAATCCAATAAAAAGAGGAGGGGGTCAGCACAAACACCTGTAAGTGATCGTAAACCCACCGGTGTAGGCGGAATTGAAGGACTTTAGTGACCCTGCTTCAGGCATTTAAAGGTTCAAAGACGTACTCATTGGTCCACGAAACATAGAGATTGGCTAAATGGGTGACAGATTTCTCGGTTATTAATAGCCTATAAAGTGAGGTTCAAAAAACTGTTAAAGAAGTTGCTGCACGGGTATCTTCTCGTGGACTATTCCAAATGTGAAAGAATATATTCAGGAAGAACTTACCTCCCAATATCGTCGCATAGCAATCAACTTTAACCCATAAAAGACACTAAGGTTTATCAAAGATTGACGTTGCAGTCACTCAGAAGTGCAGCGCATAAAAGTGCAAGTACAACGAGAATTCATTAAAAGATAAGTGTAAGGAAATCTGCATTACCGTATTAGGAAGGAAGAGAAAACAA